GATGTGCAATAAAATTTTTTAAATTTTAAGTTATTTAAATAAAAAAGGAAGTTATTTTCTCACTGAAAAGAATTTTAAAAGGCACAAATTAAATTTAAAATACTAAGACCTAAAAAAATGTATAGTTCTGGAGTAATTTTGCGTATTAGAGGTAAAAGATAAGTAATCAATCGGTTTTCACTCAAACAGTTTGGAAACAAAAGCGGGAAAAATTTCGAAAATTGGTGGTTTCAGGGCGAGACCACCGCCTCTCAAAGGGTTAAGCCAGTTTACATTAGTTATGTGTGAATAATAGTAATTTCTTAATATCAGCTTTCTCTAAATAGCATTTTAAGCCTGATTAACTGAAAAGATTCTTTTTTCATGGGTAATTTAATTTCAAATGGAAGAATTTTATTATTGCATTTCTTGCTTTGATATATTCTTGGTTCAGTTTATATGTAATTATTCTTAGTATCATTTATCATTTTTCTTTTTAATTTTTTTAGAAATGTGTTAGACTTTGATTTTGAGAAGCTCTGTTCAGTATCCATCTCACGCATTAATGTGTATGCATGTTTAGTGTGTGGAAAATATTTCCAAGGTATGTACTCATAACATGTAATTTGTTGTATGAAATGCTGTTTCTTTAATAAAATATTCTATCATGTATTGCAAAGGTAAGATTTAGATTGTCTAAACTTTATCAAATTAATTAAATTAGAGATTAATTTTTGTAATTTTTTTAATAATATAAATTTGATGATCAATCAATACTGTAATATAAAAAAATGTTAAATAGTAATTAATGCATAATTAAATTAAAATGTTTGTTTAAGAGGAAAAGAAATTTAAGTTAAAACTGTAATTCATGAAATGTATATACAGTCAAAAGCCGTTAATCCGGACTCGTCAGGACTTCGGCGATTCTGGATTATCGATTTTTTCGGATTATAGATCATTAGTTAAATCTGGTAAGATGGCATGCAGAATTATAAATTAAAATATGAAACCGTTTTTTATGAAAAAAAGAACAATTATGATCTAAAGGTATCAAAATTTACAAAAAAAAAAAAAAAAAAAAAAAAAAAAAAAAAGCTAATATTTATTTGTTACTTTATTAACATTCTTTCAATGTAAGTTGTTTAAATTGCTAATTTTATGTGATAATACTTTCTCTTTAATTCTATAACAGACATAATTTCTTCTTCAGTTACAAAGTTCCGCTGTTCAAGTCCTATAATTGCTGTGTCGAGAATACCGACAATTTGTCAATCAAAATTTTTTCGTTTTCAATAACCCCTGTGTCACTTTCTTCACTATCGGAAGCGAATTATAATGAGGAGGAATTTGATTTAAATCATATCAAAGACTGAGTGCATCAAAATGAAATACTACATTTAGTAAGGAATTATAAGCTAAATAAAATAAAAACTTCTACCCTGAAGATAAGGATAGTGCTGACAGATCAACTTCCAATTCATTGCGCGCCACCGTGTGAAATTGATATACAGATTCCGGAATGGTTAGAGAAACGAAGATATGCCTTTATACATTTTTTGCAGCAATTCCACTTTTTGTTTTAATGGACTTCGAAAATACTTTCGCTTTGTAGATCTTTACATATTAGTAAATATATATCGGAAATTCTATTTGACATAATCGAAGTTCAAGCTTACTTTTACTTCTATAAAATAAGCTCCTAACGCAGTCTGCAAATTAACTGAAATAGATAATTTAAGCTTAGCTATACCGTCCATTATACATTAAACGTGCATGCGTAAATGAATTATGCACATGCACACACGCATATTCACAGCCGTAAAGGTCTTACGTGCATGTGTCAATTCGACGCATGCGCAGAAAGTTTGTAGCTTTGATTTCCGGATTATGGGTGTCCGAATTAACGACTTTTGATTGTATTTTTAATTCGAATATGAAACTTTTCCATATGTTTATACTAAAGCTGACTTGATTGTTGGTACAAAATAATTGTCCTGTTTGTGCCAAACACTTGTTATAACCAGTTAAAACCAGCAGGAGTAGTAACACTTAGTGGAAACTAACAAAAGTATTTAAAATGTTTTGTTCATTAATTAATTTTAATGCCAAAAGAGTAATACACATTAATAATAATTTAATTAATTTGCATTAATAAAAATGCAGAGTTGCCAACTCTCCCGATTTAGGCGGGAGACTCCCGATTTTCGACCGCTCTACCGCCAACCCGATTTACAATATATTTCTCCTGACTTTTTCTTATTCTTAATATTTCTCACGATTTTTATGGAACTTGGCTTAATACTTAATTATATGAACAAAAAAAAAAAAAAAAAAAAAAAAAAAAAAAAAAAAAAAAAAAAAAAAAAAAAAACAAAAAAAAAAAAAAAAAAAAAAAAAAGGATTTTGGACGTCTGAAAGCAACTGAATTTTCTCTAGATTATATCTAAAACAAGAGCTTGCGAATATAGATGAGAATTTCTGCTTTGTGAGGGAGAGCATACGTATCCGAAAACCTCGTTCTCCAATGGGCATCAAGCTCCACTGGGTGGCATCTGGCATATATTAGCCAATGAGCACAAAGCAAACTCAAGGCTGTTATTTGGATGTTCTTTCGTTATTTCGTTCATCTTGTCCTGAGTTTTGTGAGTACACGTGCCTTCGGGAAATAGTGTTATAAGTCATCATCTTTTGTTATGTCTGCGAGAAAGGTGAAATACTCGTGTATGTTTCAAAAATTGTACACAGTTGACTTTCCTTCCATTATTTCCTCAAGGAAATGTAATAAATTTGCGATTTTTTGATTTCGCATGGTGAAAGCGCGGATGTTCTGAAATATGTGCGTACATAAAAACACAAGGACAACATGAGTTGTTTTGAAAACAAAAAATTAAATTTTTCTACGGAAACAAAGGACCAAAAAGGGATTTATGCAGAATGACTGTTTTCTGCCTTTTTACTTGAGCACAACCTGCCACTGAATGTATCGGATCACGCTGCAGCTTCATTTAGAAAAATGTTTCCCAATAGTGAAATCGCTAAGAAATACTCAAGTGCAATGACCAAAACAGGTGCAATTGTTAAATAAATGGGTTTGAAAAATTAATCTTCAGTTATTGATTGCATTAAAACAGCTCTGTTCTGCCTCTCTACCGACGGAAGCAATAATACCGATTCAAAACTGTATCCAATTGTTGTTTCTTTTTTTAATCCAGAGTCAGTGATGAAGTGATTTTGCATGCTAAAGTTGCTGATGTTTCTGCTCTAGCAAATGCATCTTTTTCTGATATAAGGTACTTTTTGAACACATTTCCTGTGTTACTTCATTTAGTCATGAAGATGATGATGTTGCAACTGAATACTGCAGTCGCAATTTGCAGTTTACAATTAGAAAACTGGATGAAGTTTATAAAATCAGCTAGGATTGACACCCAGTGAGTTTAATTGGAAAACTGAAAGGTGCTGACGGAATTTTAAAATATAGTGAACTGTCTAGAATTAGGTTGGCCATCTTGACAGTTCCCCATAGTAATGCGGATTTTCAGTGTTGTTGCGAAAACGAGGACTAAATTTAGGTCTAATATTAGTGATGACACATTAGAAAACTTTTATTAGCAAAAGCAGGCCTACGTGGCTATTACTGTGAACAAAATTATGAAGTTTCTTAACGAAAGCAAAATCTGCCTGTGTTCATAACATTTGTAAGAAAACTGATTAAAGTTTCTTTTATTTTAAAACAAAATGATGGCAAGTAATAAAGTGTTTTTTATGTGTAAGATATTTTGTGTTGCTTGCATTTAAGACTTAGTCACTATTTAAGTTAATTCATTATTAAAAACTATATTTTTTATCATTAAAAAGTCCTTTTAACATTGTGAAAAATCTCCTGATTTCTTAAAAAAATCTGATTTTTGAGTGTCATAGGTTGGCAAGTATGAAAATGATTGTTTCATTGTTTTCTATATTCTAATAACAGAAAAAATGAGTGACTATTTCAGTTTAATTTTTTTAGGCAGTTACGCTGTGCATGTTTTGCTGAGAAATGTTGACAAACCATGAGAATATGAATTTGTGATTACAATTCTGAAGCATAAAGGTAGCTTAATTTGGCCAGGTTAAATAATATTCCATAAAAGGAAACAAGTAACTGAATAATAATGCACATAATCAATGAATATTAAATGGCTAATATTATCCTGAATAGCTCTTTAATGCTAGATAAAGTACACAATATTTGAAAACAGGAGATTAAAAGAAAGTTCGTGGTAAAATATTTACAATGATTCAAGATGACTAGAAGAACATCCCCGTCAAATTTGTTGTTACGAGGGTTGGAACTTTAATGGTGGCATTTATTTATTTACAAGGAATGCAAAAGTGATTCATGTCACCATGTTTTACAGTCCTTCAATATAGTCGCCAGCATTGTGTACAACCCGTTTCCAACGATGTGGAAGTCACAGAATACCTGTAGCAGCGCCTGTTTTTGTTGATAGTTTGAATGAATGGACCGGTTTACTGCCGCAGGAATCTCAGGAAACAGTTTGGAAGTGAGTGCCACGACAATGGTTTCCTTCATCTTAGGAATTAAGTCATAGGTCAACAAGGGTTTAGATCTGGACAGTATTGTGGATGGTAAAGCACTTCCCAGCCCATCGCGCTGAACAAATCAGTCACAGCTTGCGCTGCATGCGGCCAAGCATTGTCATGCAAATGAGAGGAGCGTCTGCAGAAAGTGTCGCGTTTTTTTTCTCAAAGTGGTCGGAGATTGTGCTCCAAAAATGAGCAGAATACTGCGCAGTGATGGTCTGCTGTGGGGGGGAACGGTATGCGTTAGGATGACGCCATCAAAGTCGTACCCAAGAATCACCATAACTTTTCACATGCTGGGGTTCTGACGAAATTTCGAACGTCGTGGTGACCCGTGATGACGCCATTCGTTTGATTGGCTTTTCAGTTCAGTCTGGTACGATCGGGCCCAAGTCTCATCCAGCGTAATGATACAGCATAAAAAAGCATATCCTTCGCGCTCATAGCACTCTATGTGGGTTCGGGCAGCATCGTATCGTAGCCATTTCTGCATTTCCGTCAATTGTTGTGGAACCCATCGTGAAGCAATTTTTCTCATGGACAGGCGTTCCTTCAGAATGTGCAGCACAGTCATATGCACTAATTCTGTTTGTCTGGCCAGCTGACGAATCGTTTGGCGGCGATCACTGTCCATTAGTGCGGCAACAGCTTGTACATCTGCATCGCTGACACTTGGACGACCTAGCCGCAGCATGTCTGCCACGTTTTGGCGTCCTTCATTGAATGCTTTCACCCATCTTGTTACAGTTCTGTAAGGCAATGCAGATTCCCTGTAAGCCTCTTGAAGCCCTTGATGACACTGTCGGGGTGTACGACCTCTGGCACATTCAATTTTTATCCAACATCGTTGTTCTTGTTTTGAAAACATCCTGACAACGATTACTTTAGACCACGAGCTAATACAAGGATCCGTTCTTTGCGTCACTCCGCATGCGCGTGACGTTGGCAGGACGAGTCTTTTTGCTGAGAGGTAAGGTAGGTATATAGTTTATGTGTGGTATACGGTTTTGTTGCGTAGCGTTTTTTCAGCTGTGTTGCCACTATTAAAGTTCCAACCCTCGTATTTAAGGTATTCATGTTAGTACACTGTATGTATATTTTCTTTAATTCTGCAAGTATAGGATCTGGAAAAAAGACTACATGTAACTGTGCCCAAGTAGGCAAGAACTATGAGAAAATGAAATTCTTATAACACATAATTAACTAAAACAGAATAACCCACTGTACTTGATAAAGACAGTTTGCTTTGTACAACTTACGAATATTCTTTAATTTGTGCAAAAGCATGCCTCAAAGAATTCTAAGTTCTGAAGCATGCTCTAAAGATTGAATAATTGTAGGAAAATTTAAAAATGTTGAAATAATATTTCTGTTGTAATAGCAAAAGTAATATGTTTTTGAAGGCAGTTTGAAGGACAAATATTTTTGACCTCCTATATCAGTGAACAATTATAAAATTTTCATTCTAAGAGAAGTAGAGTTCATTTCAACATTTAACTCTTACATCTGATTTCATCAATCCAGAAATTGGCTACTGATCTAATATGGATTCATAGTAGCTTGCTAAAGTTTAAAAAATACTTTATATTCTCTTTTCTTTGAAGTGTCATGATAAAAATATATATATATATGCCCCATTACTGTAAAAATACTATTTGTGTTATTGGCTTGTTCAAACTGTTACTGTTATTAAAACATGCTGCTAGAAACTTTGCTGCTTCAGTGTTTAAACCAAAACCTCATTTTGAAATTAGATTACCGCTACTTTCACTCTTAAAATTACCTCCCCCTCATAAATATATTTTCTTTTTTATTAGATAAGAGTACTATGCATCCCATTTTGAACTGAATTCCTTCATTTCATTGTCATGTCTACTATATTCAGTTACTTTTGTCAAAATCTCAATGTAGACCCATTTCATTAATAAATAACCTGCAAATAAGTTATATCAGTGGTATCAAACATTCCTGTGCAGACATGCTGTTCTCGAGAAAAACAAAAGAAAGAGGGGAGGGGACACGAAAACAACATTTGGCTATTCTTGTGCATGTAATAATATTGCAGCATCATTAACATAATGATAATCTATTAATTTTTTTTTTTGAAAAATAGCAATAAAATAAAATATTTTTCTCTCCTTCATGTTTTGGAATGCCTACCTTCTGTTTTAGCAATTTATGAATTTTGTTGAAATTTAAACAAGGTAAGATGCACTAAAAGAAAATGAAATCCCACCACCAAGAAGTTAGTTTAGAGGAATAAAAAGTAGCCAAAGCATTTCTTTAGGCAACATGTTTATTTGAGTAATGTTTCAAGGTCACAGGTTAAAGTATGTGCAAGAAGAGTTATTTCAAATGTGAAATGATGGGACGTTAATAACTGGTGCCTTGACATTAAATGCAAGCGTACAGACACACAAGTGTTGTGCTGTATAGGTGCCATATATAGCATTTCATGGGATGGAATTTTGTGGTGTTGCACTTAAGTCAGTCAAATTAGCAACAGTCCATGCTGGTTGTAGATGATAGTGGATTTGTTCTGCAGTCATGTCCTATACGTCCAATCATGTCCTTAGTAGGAGAAAGATCATTTGGTCTTGCAGGCCAAGGCAACATGTTGTCTCTTTGTAACAGTATAGTGGTGTGGGATAAATATTATCCATTTGGAAAACACAAATTTGCTGTCAAGGTGTATGTGATAACAACAAAAGTGCTCCTACTGTCATAGGAAATCACTCCCTAGACTATAACTTCTGGTGTCGGTGTTTATGCCTCAGACAGCTTGATTCGAATTGCTTACCAGGCTTCCTTCTAACCAACATGGTGATCGTTGGAACCAGGAAGAAACATTAGTCATCTGAGAACACAACAGATCACTGGTTCCTTCTCCAGATAGCTATAGCATGGCCAAAAGCACAGAAAGTGGTAATTGAGTTAGTGGTAAGGCTGTTACAGGGCATTTGGCTTGGAGCTCTGAAAACCAGGGCTGTTCCTAGCGGGGGTGCAGCGCGTAAACGTACGCAGGCGGCGAAAATCAGAGGCGGCCGAACTCTTGTGATACCACGTGTAAGTATTTCAAATTCATTAAATTCATTGTAAGTACTTATCATATGTAAGTACTTTTTATACAAATTGTCATATGTAAGTACTTAAGTATGAAATGAAAATTTTATTAATCATTCAGTACTTTTTTTTAAAATTTGGGAGTGACAATGTTAAGAAAGTACGTGGGCAGCCAATGGCCTAGGAATGGTCCTGATGAAAACTCAAATGTCTGCTTGCAAATGTAGTGTGATGTGCCATGGATATATGGCGAGTATAGCACTCTTCCCTTTGAGTGGTCGCATGTGTGTAACCAGACCACAATTTTCTTAAGACAGTACCTTCCCACGACCTCTGCTGTCAGCACACATGCACACTAATACATCCCTGAAGTTTTTCTGCAATAATAATAATAATAAAGCTGTGTTACATGGCTTCATTCAAACTCAGTAAGCTGCTGATTCTGCTGTTTTTGTCTCTTTAAAGGCATTCCTGACTCAGATCTCAGTTACAATGCCCAATCTGGAAAATAAATAAAGCACACGATATTTATACTATGTATTTAAAGCAAATGTGATTCCCATATTCTTAGTGGTGCTAATAGCACCATATTTACTTGTTTTAGCATGAAATTTGAAAAGACGTCCTCTTTCAGATGTGCAAGCATGCTTCTGAAATTTCATTTCTCTCAACACCAAGGAATGGTGCTGAGATCTTTTTTTCCTTCAATGTATGTCATAAAACTATTTTCAGATTGCTTTTTTTTTTAATGAAAACAACAAAACAAGACAAAATCCTCTAAATATGTTAAAATTAATTTCCTTTGTGTAAATTAAAATTTTGTTATAAACATTTTTCTTTTTGTAATTATTTAAAAATATGTTAGTTTTCTCTGTAAAATTCATTTTATGCTTTTCCAAAAGTTCCCCTCCTTCCCAAATCTGGTTTTAATTCTCTCTTAATCTGATTTTAATTTAAATTAGCTATCATCCTGATTTTGATTCACTCATTTAATTTTAATTCTCTTCTAAGTTGGCAGCAGCAGGAAGTTACACTTTTATTGGTAAGTAATTGCCAATTTTAGTGTTTACTTCAACTGTTGATTCCACCCACAAATACCTTGAAATTCAACCCACAAGTACCCCAAAATATTTAGATGATAGCATATAACAGAAAGAGGTAATAGCCCTTGTTATGATACTAAGAGATAATAACAAATTATAAAAGCTTCAATATTAGGTACGATTTTTACTCCAAAAAAGTATCCTTTTGTGCCACATTTAAATCTGTTTCAAATACAAATAAAAATAGCAGAAATCTCTATTTTTATTTGCTGTTCTAACAAATTTTTTATTTATTTTATTTTAGTTTCTGTAAATTGTATGAAAATTTCCTTGCATTCAATACTGAAATCACCTTCACTGCCATCTACAAGAATAACGAGACAGTTTGTTATTTACTTATGTCACCACGTTCGAGTAATAGCATAGCAAATGCATACAAAGTTTAGCTGTTTAGTGTAGAGGAAGGACTAAATAATACACTTGTTGACGGAAATGGATAATTTATTTCTCAAAACACAGGTATAATAACTTAAGTTTTAAAATCCAAATTTTTTTTTTTTTTTTTTTTTTTTAATTCACTGGGAGGAAAATAAACAGACTGCTCTAATTCTTGTTCAATACCTCATGCAAGACTTAAAATGTAAAAAAAAACTGAAATTTGATTTCCTAGTATCAAAAGAACAGACTTCTATGATATTAATTTTATGTCTTTATTGTCTTAATTGCTTACTTTATGGTATTTTATTTTGGATATGTTTTTTGTATTGCTCTAGGACGAGGAACAAACACTCATGCATACATGCACAGTGTTCAAGCAGGTCACCATGTATTTCTCAATCTTCAGACACTGCGTTTTTATTGTATACCAGACAACTATGAAATTATTGATTCTTCCTTGGATGACATAACGGTATTATTATTTTTCATTAACATTAACTTTGAGTGTACAAGAAATGGATTTTTGGTACTTTTTAGCTAACATGTTGCTTGGTCATGTTTTATGGCAAAGCACCAGGTATATGAATATATTTATTTTCAACCCCAGAGTTTTCATAACCTTGTTTCAACAATTCATAGGCTATACTGTCAAACACTTTAAGTGATTCCCTGATATCTTGAGACATTACAGAAACTTTGCATTGTTTCAGCGAAGGCAATAGTAATGGTATTAAGCTCTTCATGTAATTAAATCTTGGAACTAATTAAAAAGAAATGTATTAAGCAAAGTAACTATTCAAGAGAAAAGGAAATGCATTTACTTACAAATTAGTTTCACTTTATTTAAAAATAATTGTTTGTTTGACGTCAGTGATTTTGTTCCAAAATTAGTTAAAAGATTTTTGGAAATAAGATTTCCAATTTTTTCTTGCTTCTTTCGTAGAGATGTGTAAATTCTGCACCTCTTTCCACTTGTGCTAAATCTGAAGTCTGAGATGTAGCAGCAGGCATAATATTTGAAGTAGTTATGCTGCTTACCTTAGCATAAGAAGTCCTTTTTAGCTGTTTACTGGACAGTTTATGAAATAAATCAAATTTAAACTTAAATTTGCTTCACTATATATACTTATAGATCCCTTATAAGTAATCTTGTAGTAGCCCAGTGAGAAATAATTATTTTTTATTTCATATATTTGTTCATGTGTTTAATTATTTTATAAAATTAACTTTAATATTTTGTTAATATGCATATTTATATTTCTTTTATGCTGAATGGCTATTTATATTTAAATTTCTTTATGCTGAATGGCAAACTAGTTCTGATTCATGATTGCTAGGTTTTGGTTTCAAAACGTTGCTCGTAGTAGCGTCGCATTTCGATAGCTGGAAAATAAAATGCAATAAACTTAGCTATTTGTTTATAATTCATGCTGTTACTAGTCATAAATTAATTTTAAACATTAGTAGCCAAGGCTACATCGTGGTGACCCTGATTAATTTTCGAAATGTCAACAAATGACTCTTCTGAAACTGCTATGAAAGATACGATACAGTCACCGGAGCTTCATAAGGTGAGTGTAAAAATACCTCCTTTTTGGATTGATAAACCGGAAATATGGTTTTTTCAAGTTGAAGCTCAGTTCAAAAAAATTAGTAATATCGTTTCAGAAGAAACGAAATTTAATTATTTAGTTTCACAGCTTGAACCTAAGTTCGTCGAAAATATTTGGGACATTGTAACGAACGATAGTGCCACAAAATATTCGGATGCTAAAATTAGGTTATTACATTTATTCAAAGAAAGTGAAAATGTACGGATTAAACGTTTGATTACTGGTATCGAACTTGGAGACATGAAACCAAGCCAACGTTTGCAGAAGTTGAGATCAGTTGCTACTACAGATGTGTCTGAAAATCTAATCAAAACATTATGGCTGGAGAAGCTACCTGACTCCATAAAAATATATTATTAGTTAGTGATGAAGATGTAACCAAGTTAGCGTCTATGGCAGATAAAATTAGTGATATGAATCGGAAACCAGAAGTATTTAGTACTAATGCTCCTTCTGTTCCCGCAAATGATTTGTTGCAAAGAATTACCTTTCTTGAACAAAAAATTGATCAAGTAACCATTCGCTCAAGACGAAGGGACTCGGATTTACGTAATTCACGTTCACGATCTCGAAGCCAACCTCGTAAACGATATGACCCTACTGGCAAATTTTGTTTTTATCACTTTCGTTTTGGAGCAAAATTCATTCTAGAGAAATGCAAGCCTCCGTGTGCTTGGGTAAAAAACGATTTCAAAAACCAGGAAAACTCGAATCTGCAGTAGGTTCAGCGGCAAACGCTGCTGCAGAAAATATGAAGGATTGTCGCAAATTTCGTTTATTCGTTCGTGACCGAAGATCAAATTTGCACTTTCTTATTGATAGCGGAGCTGACGTAAGCATAATTCCTGCTACTTCACAGAATAAATGTAAAACTGAATATAAACTGTATGCAGCTAATGGCACAGATATTTCCACTTATGGCATAAAAAACGCTAACTCTTGATTTGGGATTACGTCGTGATTTTCAGTTTCCATTCATAATTGCTGATGTCACAAAAGGTATTTTAGGAGCTGACTTTCTTCACAAATATAAATTGCTTGTCGATATAAATAAGAAAAAATTAATTGATGGCGTAACACAGCTTTGTGTCCAGTGTGATGTCGCTGCTATTTCCAGTGATTACTCAGTAACCACATTAAATAAATCCATAAAAATTTTCGATTTACTGTCGAAATATCCCGAAATTTCTAAACCTAACCTTTTTCCTACACAAATTAAACATGGTGTTACACATTTTATTTCGACTGTTGGTCAACCCGTTTATTCAAAGGCACGACAGCTCGATCCAAAACGCTTAGCTATAGCTAAAGAGGAATTTAAATTTATGCTTGACAATGGAATAATTCGTCCATCAAACTCCCAGTGGTCAAGCCCCTTGCACCTTGTTACGAAAAAGGATGGTTCATATCGTCCTTGCGGAGACTACCGACGATTGAATGCGCAGACGATACCTGATCGATACCCAATTCCTCGCATTGAAGATTTTCATCATATTTTAAGAGGTACAAATATTTTTTTCTAAAATTGATTTATTCAAAGCTTATTTTCAAATTCCCATTGCAGAAGAAGACAAATGTAAAACGGCTATCATCACTCCTTTCGGTTTATACGAATTTAATGTAATGAGTTTCGGTTTAAAAAATGCTCCTGCAACGTTCCAAAGATTTATTCACGAAGTCTTTAGAGGATTAGAATTCGTTTTTCCCTATTTAGACGATATACTCATTGCATCCAGTACCCATGAAGAACACGAAAATCACCTTAAATTAGTTTTCGAAAGATTACATACATTTGGGTTAAGAATTAATGTTTCAAAATCTGTCTTTGCTGTTCCCCAAATCGAGTTTCTAGGCTACCTAATTACACCTAAGGGTTCCCGTCCTTTGCCAGAAAGAGTTCAAGCTATTACTAACTACAAACGACCAGAAACAATTCATGAACTTAGAACCTTTCTTGGAATACTTAACTTTTATCGTCGTTATATAAAGGATGCAGCGAAGAATCAAGCATTGTTACATGCGTATCTCAAGGGAGCTAAAAAGAGGGGACAAACGTAAAATCGAATGGACTGAAGAAGCTGAAAAACAGTTTGAAACGTGCAAGAATGACCTGGTGAACACGGCACTGTTGTCTTTTCCCAATTCTGAATTACCTCTGGCGTTATTTACAGATGCTTCAGATACGGCGATTGGCTCAGTGTTGCAACAATATGAAAACTCCTCGTGGAAGCCAATAGCATTTTTTTCTAAAAAATTAAGTGATACTCAGCAAAAATATAGCACCTATGATAGAGAACTATTAAGCATATATCTTTCAGTTAGACACTTTAAGCATTATCTAGAAGGAAGAGTATTTACAATTTATACAGATCACAAGCCCTTAATATTCGCCTTTCGTCAAAAACTTGACAAAGCAACACCTAGACATGCTCGCCAACTTCAATACATCTCCCAGGTTTCGACTGATATCAAATATTTAAAAGGTGAGAATAATATTGTGGCGGATACGTTATCTAGAGTTAATGAAATTTCATCGATAGATTATGATAAAATAGCTGATGAACAAACTCAAGATGAAGAACTGAAGAGTTTGCAAACCACTACTTCCTTGAATTTCAAGCAATGTTCTCTACCATCGGGGAAATATTTGTGGTGTGATACATCAACTAAACATGTTCGGCCGTATATTCCAGGCTTTCAGAAAACACGTCTTTCAAAGAATTCATGGTTTATCACATCCAGGAATAAAATCGACTATGAAATTAATGACATCAAAATTCATTTGGCCTAACATAAAAAAAGATGTACAGTTGTGGACAAGAACCTGCATTCATTGCCAAAAAGCTAAAATCAATCGGCACACACCAAAACAAAATTAGGTGAGTTTGAAGTATCACCAGGAAGATTTTCTGTCATCCATATCGATCTCATAGGACCACTTCCACCATCTAAAGGGAATATTTATTGTCTTACTTGCATAGATAGATTTTCGAATTGGATGGAAGCAATTCCTTTAGAAAATATTTCTGCTGAGAACGTCGCAAGAACCTTTTATAGCAACTGGATTGCGCGTTTCGGAACGCCAAGTAAACTCATTAGTGATCGTGGATCCCAATTTAAAAGTGATACATTACGAGCTTTGTCCAAAATCTGTGGCATCAATTTACAACACACTACTGCCTACCACCCCTCGTGTAATGGCAATGTTGAGCGCCTTCATCGAACATTGAAAACAGCATTAAAAGCCCACAACAACATATCTTGGACGGACACGTTACCAACAGTACTTTTGGGTTTGTAAACTATTCAACAGCACTATTCAAGAAGATACCAATCATTCTATTGCGCAAGTAGTTTATGGCCAGAGTCTCAGACTTCCTGGCGAGTTTTTCAGCGAACCAAGTATCCAGACAGCATCGGAGACTTTTGCTAATAAACTCCAGAAACAGATGGAAGTTGTTGGACCGAGACTAATTCGTAAAAATTCATCTGAACAGATATTTGTCCATAAAGACTTAAAAACTTGTTCTCATGTGTTTCAGCGAATAGATCGGATAAAAAAAACCTTTGGAACCTCCTTATGAAGGACCATTTCCTGTTATTGATCGCAAGGACAAATATTTTACTATTAGCACAAAAGGAAAACATGTTAATGTATCCCTGGATCGCCTGAAACCAGCATATATTTTAGCTGAGGAAAATTCTCAGTTGATACAACCTGACTACAGTAATTTGCAGAGACCGGACTCAAATTCGGATGTGAATCAAAAACCTTCTCGCACAGGCAGAACTATACGTTTACCTGTTAGATTCAAGGACTGACTAAATTATTTTGATAGTGGTTAACACTGCAATACTA